ATATATGCTATGTTAAACGTATTTGAGCTATGTATGTGCGATATGATAGCTCTAAATTTTCTAAAAGGATATTATAAGCTGTATGAAATCAAAACATGATATTACAATTCATATAAAATCAAAGAGAATCCAATGGATGGGGCGCATAGAAAGAATGGATTGCAACAGGGACACAAAAAAGACCTTTAGTGGCCTAAAAATGAGGAATTATAAAGCAAAAACACGAGATAAATGGCTTTGTAGTGGAATTTTTAGGGAGCGAATTGTATGGTCCATAATGGACTGGAGTTATAAGGAGAAGTAAATAAATTTAATCTTACCAACTCGATGCTAATCCTTCATATGTTTCATTAAACAAATGGTCTATTTTGAATTCTTTATAACCTGGAAAACGTAGTGTTGTTTCGTCGAAAACATATGTCATATCTATTAGTCTTCTAGCTAAGGGCATGGAGTGGGAGAAACTCAGCAAACCAATGACAGAAGATAGCAATAGAAGCATTTTGATTTGAGAAACAAATACCACAAATTGAAAGAAAAAAAGTCAATTTCAGATCTGAATAATTGTTTTACAATACCGTACTGACTCACAATTATTGTCCATTCAGTTTACGAAACTTCTGGAACCTAATCAAAACTACCATTTTTCATACTTTTTGCAATCTAGACCCACGAAATTTATCGCATTATTCTGACAAAATATTTATCTATTAGTAATTTACTGTCAGATTAGTCAGCTCTTTCGGTGATTTATTATTAAATAGAGTTTTTATCAGATCGATGCTTTAAGACTCCATGTTATACTAATTGAATCTTAGATAAAACAGTTTAGATTTATAATTAGGTAAAAATTTGATAAAGATTTTTTTTTCTTATTTTTTACTTTATCGTACTATTCTAGTAATTTATTTTAAATTAAATAAGGTAAAGTCGCGTTTTAAGATTTTATTTCACTCTTTTAAAGTCAAGCTTTCAATATTTGTAATTAATAAGTAAAATCCGTTCTGACATATTGCCGTCAGTGTATAAAATCTGGTATCTTATAGAATATCTAATCATAGTATAGAATTCTTAAAATTAAGTATAATATTATTAATCCCTCACACATTGCCTATAGAATTTATATAATGACAAACCGTCGAATTATGAAACGATTAGTATTTTGCATGGACATTCTATAGAATGACGAAAAAAAGGGAAAAAAACCCTTACAAGCGTACAATGAATATACCAAGTATATAATAATTATCATTTTTCATATTTTGAATAAAAACGAGATGTTTTTAATGTTATGAGTAGGCGGGCAAAGTTGCCAAAATTTCATACTTGAATGATTTAACATATATACGTATTTAATAACGTTAATTAGATCTTTCTGACAAGACTAACTAATATTGCTAATTGAACTTGCGTTTGTGTTTTCAAAATAGATATATTCTGGTAACTTTGACTTCAATAAAATAAATATCATGATTTTAAGGAAAATCCTAAGTGTACAAGTTAATTTATAAAAAATTGTTACAAGCCATTAATATTTTTTTTTAAGGTTCCTTCTTTTATTTTATTCAAATTCTAAAGTTTTACTCAGATTAAAAGGCCTACTCATTGTAAAATATGTCGCCATATTTTGTTACATTTTAAGAGATATACACAGTTTATTTATTTATTTACTTTTTTAAGCGGTGTTAAGATAAACATAAAAGCAAAATTTTTGATCATTTTTCTACAAGAAACTCAATCGTAGCTATATAATCTCGATTTCCTTACAATATGTTTAAAGTTGCATAATGAATACAAAAATATTTACTATTCTTAAAATATCTCAAAATTAATTATACTATAGGAGGGGCTTAAAAATTTTAAAAATGCAGGATTTTTATTTCCGTTTGACAAAAAGTGTACACCATTTTGCGTTTAGTTAGAAACACAAAATTGATTTCAAATATTATCGAAACATACTTGATAAAAAAAAAAAAAAAGTTGCACTTTTGTGATTAAATTAAACTAATTGAAATATTAAAACATTTTTTTTCTTCATTTTTTAAGCTTCAAAAAATATTTTTTTAAACTTATTGTATTATCCAATTGTTTTTAAATTTTACTATAATCAAATAAATCTATCAAAAATTAATAAGATACAAAATTTTAAGGCTTAGTTGCAATAGAACATATTTTGAGCGGAAGCTCAAAGAATTTTGAGAAAAATGAGATTTTATTTTATTTTATAACTGTCGTTGAACAGCCGACCCAATAATGAGTATACGACTTCCAACGTTCAACTCCGTAGCCTTGTAATTTTTAACCCAATCCAGAATACAGGATACTCCTGGATTAAGTATTGAGAGAAATTTGCTTGTGTGGAGGACTTTGTGAAGAAACTAGCTCGCATTTTCATTACATGGAGAGGAAAATCTCCCATGGTTAGCTTGACGGCAGAGGGACTCTAACCTATGATCTTTCTACCACTGAGGTAATTTTATGTCAGCACTGTGGTCGGTGCGAGCCGGGTGCAGAATTCGTATCAACCAGCCATCTCTAGGATTCGAACCCGAGTCACCTCATTGGGAGACGAGTGCTCTATCCCCTGAGCAAGCACGGCTCAGAAAAATGAGATTAACCCTTTCCGGTGGAATTTTGCCAATTCAACAAATGTTACAAGCCATTAGAATGGGCCGGGATAGCCTGGTTGGTAGGGCACTGGGCCCATGTCCAAGCGATAGTGCGGTTCGATCCCCGCAGGCCGAAGACTCCCCGTGTTGTAAATGGTGACTAATGTACGTTAAATCGATCGAGTCACAAAGTCCTCCATGCTCCCATAACAAATCAAACCTCTGGGGGTACTGATCCTGGAATTTCCTTATCTTCTGGATTGGTTCAAAATTACAAGGCTACGGAGTTGAACACTAGTGATCATAGACCCAAAATTGGGTCGGCTGTTCAACGACGGTTATAAACATTAGAATGATTAACAGGGGAAGGGCCAATGTGAGGCCTTAGAGTTTCAATTCGAACTTTATGACTATGACTATTTTAACGCCCAAGAGAGGAAAAATCTTAAAAAGAAGAAATTCGTACTAGAATTAACGGACGTCGGGGTTGGTCCAACCAAACGTGGGGCCTAATTAGAATTATACAATACCTACACTATGCATTTCTTTTAACAGGCATCAAAAGTAAACATTTCTTCATAAAGAATCTCTCTCTGAAATAAATAATTCGCAGACGAATGATTATGTGAGTTAAACTTGAAAGGAAAGGAAATCGTCAGTTTTTCTCAAATTTATTTGTAGGCATATTAGAATTGGAAATATAAATTTTAAAAAGTAATACTAGTTTAATGATTTCCTATGAATTATAAATCCCTTGATGCAGAGTTTTTTTAAAACAAATTTTCCATAATTTACCCGTTTTTTAATAATTTAGTTGAAAATAAATAATAAATATTATGGTTAGCATTTTAATAATTTATAGTCTTGAAATACAACATGAAACTCAACTCCGGTGTCTTTTTTCTGGATTAAAGTAAATCGATTCAAAGCAATGTTTCAAATTTGCAGCTATTTAGATCTAAGCGAAAAAGTTATTCTCCATTGAAATTTCCTTAATTTATAAAATCAATTATTCATAAATTTTTGAATATAGATTTTAAAAAAAATGAAACTGCAATTTTTTTGGATTTTATAGTTTAGTACATATAATTTCAATAATCTAACAAGTTTTTTAGTAGCTTTTATTGTTTTTTAAAATTAAAAAATACTTTTCCTTGTAATTAGAGCATGAGAAAAAATATATTAACGGTACACTGGTAAAAAAAACAAACATATTAACAGTACACCGGCAGTGTTGCGGATGTAAATTTTAAACGCGGGGCATGGGCTGAAGTAGCACACTTTTAATCCTAATGTGGATTTATCAGCAATCCACTTTGCCAAGCGAAGTACTAAACCTATCATTTATACTATTTTATGTTACCTATCAATGCATGTCTTTATCACTTGTTTATTTTTCTCTTATAAAAACTCGAATAGCTGTTAGTGTATAATAGAACATTCAAAGTTTCCTCTTGATTTACATTAACTTGTCATAAAAAATTTTTTTTTTAATTATTTTTTTGCGTAAGTACGATTTTGTGTATTTAACATGAATAGTTTCTTAATATAAGATGATTGTAACTTTTTCCAAATTATCAATAAATAAATAGATAGATAAATTTTTAGAAATTTAGCCAATTAAACTTAAAATTTTAAATTTAAGAATACATTTAATAAAATTTTAGTTTTTTTTTCAAAAAAAAAACAACAACAACAAAAAAACATGTTGTTAGACATGTCATGCTGCAAAGTTTACAAAAATGTAAAGGAAATCTAGCTGATGATTTTAAGTGAATGTATAATTACCCAAACAAGGACAGGATATACAGTGCACTCCCGATTATCCGGGTTAATCACCGGGACAGGTCGCACGGACAATCGAAAAACACGGATAATCCGAAAACTCCTTTTATTAAAGAAAAATTCAATATCAGTACAAAAAATATAAAAATTACTGACATTTGCATGCATAACATCAAACTAGGAATTTTCCTTATTAAAAAATGTGTAATGCGTCTTCGCCATATATCGATACACATATTTTACGAACCGCAGTAATGTCACCGTAATCAAATCCTCCCATATAATCTAATAAAGTTTC